AACATTCTATCTTAAAGAGAATCTTGCTAAGACTCAAGGTGTTCTAATGGCGGTGAAACATCCTTTCTACAGGGGAGTTTCTTAAATCTCAGAAAGTAAACTCAATATCTTCAGGAAATCCCTGAAACTGACCAGATTCACTTTCTAAGTGTATATAAACAGGAAGGACTACTAAGAGACATCCCCAGACAAGCCTGGGTGCTTGGAAGAGACAGAGAACAGCCAATCTGCCTGGAAGAGGCTCAGACCAACAAAGTGCCTAGAAAAGACACTCTCCAACATGTTGAGATGACTGTAAGTTTTGTAGTGAGCTCCAAGTTTCTAGCTTTCATTAGCCATCACCCATGCTGGGGTGGACTTTTGATGATGGAGCTGTCTTCAAGTTATTTTTCTCCTGTAAGTAATCCATTACCCATATTCCTTTAAGTAACTTAATAAAACTTATTAATTCACCAAGTTGGAATTTGGAGGTATCCTTACTGTGGTCTGTCATCGGTTTCCTATGTGGGCTGGGTAAGTGCTTGTTTATGTCTCCATGAGAACAGGTCACACAACATGTGTAGACCTTTTTCTTGTCATTGGTCCCTAAACTAGTAACAAAATTTGCATAATTAGTTATAAGTAATCTAAAGATGATGTAAAAATGTAGGATTATATTTGTAGGTATAGTTATATGTATAAACTTAATATAATATAAAACATCATTTTATATGAAAGACTTGATCACTGGCAGATTTTTGTATTTTCATGGAGTCTAGAACCCACATTCTCTTGATATCTAGGGATTGCTGTAGTATAGATATAAGTTAAGGCCGAATTTGCTGGTTGTTTAACCAACGTTTACCTCAGGAACCCACATCTTGTCAGAAGTTAAAAACTCAGATATTCACATCTCCTTGGGAACCTGTACTTCCCCAGGAACCCAAATCTCTTCAAGAACCCGAATATGTGCAGGATACCACATCTCCTTAGGAACCCAAATCTCTCCAGAATTCGTTTTTTTTTTTTTTTTTTGATTTTTTTCTTTACTAAGAAATTTTCTACTCACTGCACATACCATCCACAGTTCCCCCTTCCTCCCTCCCCCACCCCCTCAGCCCTCTTTCCCGAGCCACCTCGCATCCCCACATCCCCCAAATCGAGGTCTCCCATGTCTCCCCAGAATTCTATATCTCCTCAGGGTGCCACATCTTAGGAAGCCATTTCCTCAGGAACTTATACCTCTTCAGGAAACCACAACTCTTTAGAAACCATCTTCTCAGGAACCCATAGCTCTGTAGGAATGTATGTATTCTCAGGAATGCATGGCTCCACAGGAACATTCATTTCTTCAGAACCCACATTTTCCTTCAGCAGAGAAGGTGGTCAATTAGTGAGATTTCCTTTATGGGGAGTTACTCTTTTCTGTGATGTTCTGGGCTCCTCTGATGCCGTGATGGGCATCATATTGACTTTTGTCTTCTATATATAGTTCAGTCCTGACCGGCTAAACTTGAGTGCTCATTGCAGTTTGGAGCTTAATAATTTTAAGATCGATAAAAAGAATGGGTAATATAGTGATGAGTAACCTTAGAATCTTAGAAAACCAATTTCACCCAAGCATCTGAAGTGTGGAGGAAAGCATAAACTGGATTTTATTTTTGAACACAGAGTAATCCCTTCCTTTTCCCTTGAATTTACTTGGCATTCCAAGAGCTATCAGGACCCTGGTTGGCCTGCAACCAGGGACAGATCTCTGCCAGAACCTTTTATAGTCCATGCTAATCTAGACTCTTGAACTTTCTACTCTGGCATCAGGGTATGTGAGGAACACAAAATAATGATAAAGAGCTCAGTCATGGCATCTTCAGACCACCGCCTCACTACTCAGTAGCTATGTGGTCTTGGACAAAGCAAGTTATAAGACTTGGCTCTTTCTTCCTAAAATGGAATGTGTGAAGATGAAGAGAAATAATGAAAATAAAATGTCTGGATCATATAAATAGTCAACAAATAGGACGACATCATCATCATCTTCTCTATCTTGGTCGTCATCTTCATCAACACCACCTTCATCATTATCACTTTTATCTCCATTCTCTTCCTCCTTTTCCTCTTCATGATCATCTTCATTTTCACTCTCATCATCATCCTGATCATCATTGTCATCCTCATCATCTTTATCTTCATCATCTTCATAACCACTATTATCCTTCATGTAATTTCTGGTTCTCTGCCATGATACAGACCCAAAGATTCAGGCCATGTCACCTGAGGGCCAACTTGTGGTGATGTCTCTGGTGAACTCCTGGTATATTATCCTAGGGCAGGTACACACAGGAACTGTAGGAGCTTAGAGAATCTTCAACAACTGAGGAAGAAGTTGGTATTTTGAATTCACATCATTGGAAAACAGTAAATGAATAATCTTATATGTGCCCTAATGTTTTGTTCTTTAAGGATGCCTAGAGTCTTGCCAAGCTAATGATGAGTTATGTTGTCCCATTCTGATCTGGGCAGGTGCAGAAAAACTCTTTATTAAACCTAGACCACACAGCAATATTTTGTTCCCCAAACCAAACCAACCCAGCCCCCCCAAAACCCAACAATAAGAAAAGGAAATATTTCCCTCCTTTTTTGAAGATTAAAAAAAAGCCACAAAGGAGAACAATCGTCCATTTTGAATTGAATATATTAGAAAGAAAGTTCTTTAAGCTGTTCTTTTCTTTTGTAACAAAAATCATATAAAGAGTCCAATAATATGGATGAGCTTCCATATTGGTTTTCCAATGCAGAGTGGTCAGTCCTGAAACCATACACAAACAAACAACAAAAATGGACTAAGCAAGTTGCATTTATATGTATTTGTGAACACACACACATATACACACACACATATATAACAATAATAAAAGAAAAAGAGGCTATCACCTTGAGAGTGGGGGGACATGGGTGAAGTCTGAGGGAAGGCAGCTGGGAGGGGCTGGAGAGAGGAAAGGGAGGAGGAAAAGTGATGTAATTCTATTTCAATTAAAGCATATTAAAAATAAAATACAAAAAGGATTCTAATAAAATAAAGCAATATTAAGAAAACATGTTTCAACAGCAGACATAAAAATGGAATATATGCAATATGAACCTAGGGAAAAAGAAACATTTTTATAAAAGCTGAACAACACATAAAGTACTGAATATTCACGACTCAGAATAGCTTCCTCCGCTATTTTTGCATAACTTCAGCCTAGAGTTAAAGATTCTAGGCATAAAGTTTATGTCCGCATCATATTTCTTTTTCTAAAATAAAATTATATTTAAAATGGAAAGTTCTAAAATCCTTTTTACTTACAGGGTTTTTTTCTAATTTACCTTTTGGATGGCTTAGCTACAAGTCTCTAGTTTCTTCCTCTATTGATGCAGGAATCTGCCAAGTTTTCCGGTGAGATGATGGGTACCCTTCTGTAACACAGACATCGCACTATAGAGTGAGAATACTTGTCCATAGACAGACATATGATATTTATTTTTCTTGGAAATAGACAAAAACCCTAACTCTGTGAGGACAAAGTTAGTGGAAATAAAATGTAACCCGAATGGAACTTTCTGGTCAGTTTTAATGATCTGTCAGATGCCATAGCGTGTGTAGCAGAGGGAAATGGATGCAGGATTATTTTATAATCCTTGCACCTGTACAGGATGGGCATTTGGAGCTGTTCCTCTCTCCATATTTTTTTGGGGGTAATATAAGTGAAAGAACTGTGAAATAGGAAAATGAGGTACTGGATTTCTTGTCCCAGTTACTTCAGACATTTTATCTTCTCAGTCATAGTTACATAGATTTTTTTTAAACGTTTATTTATTTATGTGTGTGGAGGCAGAGGAGAACTTGGAGGCAGTTCTTTCTTCTCACCATGTGGCTCCCTGGGATTGAACTCAGGTTGTTGGGATTGGTGGCAAGCGCCTTCACCAGCTGAGCTATCTAGCCGGCCCACAGCTGTCTTTAAAACGGGGGATCTGATTGCTTGTTATTGCATGGAGCATTGTGAGGGTTGGGTATGACACTTATGGAGGAATGTTCAAATTTTATTCCCCAGGGAGGATAACAGATACTATTGGGTGAGTTTAGGGCCACCCAGTGACTCAGACTGGTCCTTGTCATTCCAGTTTATTGTAATTCCTTGCTTGTGCAGGTGGACTTTGAACTCTTGTGTCTTGCACCACATTGCCTGACAAGATGCTCATTTTGTTGTTGAATGCTGTGATTGCTGTGCTGTTGTTGAAAAGTATCTATCTATCTATCTATCTATCTATCTATCTATCTATGTGTATGTGCCTGCATGGATTTATGTGCACTAGTGCATGCAGATGCCCATGCAGGCCAGAGGTCATTGGGTTTCCTGGAGCCGGGGTTACAGGTGGTTGTGAGCCGCCTGGTGTGGATGCTGGGAACCGAATTGGGTCCTCTACAAGAACGGTGAGTGCTCTTAACTACTCAGCCATCTCTCCAGCCCCTGTTACTGGACATTTTGTTAAAACTCCTCGTGCAGCCACACCATGCCCCTTGTGTGGATCGTCTGTGATGAGAACTTATCTCTGATGAGCGCGGTGCACTCTGACTCGATAACTAAGAAACCACGTCTATCTAGAACCGAGGGAGTCCAAGTGAAAATATCGAATACACTTAGAGAGTCCCCACTCTGTGCACCCCGGGAGAAGGTGAGTTTTCCACGCAATCCGAGGGGCTTTGGCAATTGGTGTGGAGAACTGGAGCGCGGCTCAGCGGGAATTAGCGCCTTGCTAGGCAGGGCTTGAGGTCAGGAAGGGCAGCAGGTGCAGGGGAAGGCTGAGCGCTCTGGCACGCGCCAGCCGATCCCCCGAGCAGCCAGTAAGCGGCGCTGGGCCCCGGCGCTGGCGGCCGGAGGAGCGAGCTGCGGATTACCTGCAGCAGCCGGGGCTGGCAGCTCCTCCCCGCCCGCCCCCAGCCCGCCCCCGCCGCCGCACTACCGGAGCTCCGCGGGCTCCAGGCACTCGCTGGCGGGAGCCGGGGCCGAGCGCGCCGGCCACTGGGGCCTCCTCCCTGCGTCTTCAGGCCGGCCGCCCTCCTCCCGCACCGTGCGGCGCAGGGAGGCCCCGCGCCTCGGCCGCCCCCGCTCGCCCGCCTCCGCCGCGCTGCAGGGGGACCGCCGGGCTCACGGCACCAGCAGCGCGGCCCCGGGGCGCCTCCGGCTCCTGGCTGTGGCCGCCGCAGGGGCAGCGACCTGAGCAGCCGCCGCCGGAGCCCCTAGAGCATCCCGGGTAGCAGTGACTAGAGCGCCCAGAGAAGCCGCAGAAGCAGTAGCAGCAGCGTGAGTGGCCGCTGTCGCCGGGCTCCGCAGGGCTCCCTAGCCGGCCCGGCCAGGAGCGCGGAGCCATGGCTGATGCGGGTGAAGGCGAGGACGAGATCCAGTTCTTGAGAACTGTAAGTGCCATGTCGCGGCGCGCGTCCTCCCTGGGGAAGGGGCGCCCTGGTAGCCACCAGCCGAGTGCCTGCAGAGTGACAGCCGGCTGCGGGGCGGGAGGCGCCCCAGGGATGCTTGGAGGGGTCCGCATCGGCACATGTGTGCAGGTGTGCGTGTCGGTCCGGGAAAGGGCAGGACGCGTGTCAGTGCGCGCGTGTGGAAAACCAAGGGGACCCTGTGCGGTGACAGCGTGGCGAGCCAGCGGGAGGTACCCGGGCGGGTGCTGCCCAGCTGCGGGAGCCCAGACTGGCCAGGGACCTCTCTGACGGCCTCAGGCTAGGGTGCAGAGCCGTGTGTCCGTGGGGCGCGCGGAGAGTGGGGACTCCGGTTGTCGCCGGCCCGTCCCTGGGGCTTTGGGGCTGAGTCTGCGCGCTGTCACAGAGCGAGGACATCGCAATCCGCGTACTTGGCATAGCTCACATAGTGAGTGGCCCAGGGTTGAGGAAGCTGCCCGGAGGATGCCCCCAAGTCAGGATGATACGAATGCCACAAGGGCTAGCTCCAGTGGTCCCCACGGTTCCCGGCGTGGTGACATGGTGGTTTTGTGACGACGGCTTGCAGAGCACATGGGAACCGTAGTGTGTGTGTGTGTGTGTGTGTGTGTGTGTGTGTGTGTGTGTGTGTAAATGTGTGTTGTATGTGTGTGCGCGCCGCATGAAAGCATTTACACAGGGTGGGCATCATGAACGTGTGTTGTCGTTCTCTAAACGCTGGCTTGTTGAATACCTAGTGCAGCAAAGTGCGTGCCTGCAAGTGTGTGTGTGTGTGTGTGTGTGTGTGTGTGTGTGTGTGTGTGTGTGTGTGTGTGTGTACGTGCGCGCGCAAGGCGAGGGTGGCTGCCCGGAATTTCCACACTGGGTGATAGGCAGGGAAAGACTGGCCTCACTCTAATAAGATTCCTTCTCCGTAAGTGCCCCTTGGCGCTGCTGCTTCCTCCCTGACTTGTTTTAACACTGCAGATACTTCCCAGCCGGTTGCTCACCTCCAAACCTGGACTGAACCTCCAGGACCAAAGAAACGCAGGGACTGTGTTAGAACAGTCTAGTTAGCCTTCACCGCATCATTTCAGCCCTTCCTTCCCCACCTCTCTTTCCCCAAGAATATCCTCCTGACAGGATTCCTGGATTTCAACCTAAAACTGCGTTTTTTTTTTTTTTTTTTTTTTTTTTTTGGCTGGGATATCTTCCCAACAGTCTAAACATCCCACTTCCAGGTACAATCCCTTTCATAATCACAGAAAACACCACAGATGGGAAAATTTTGAAATACTAACTAGAAGATAATTTTTAGGTGTGAAACCATGTTGATGTGTTTGGGTAAAATCTGGAGGGTGGCATTAGAAGCCCATTCCCCTGCCCCTTTTGCTCTTCACTGGTATTTTTTTTGGGGGGGGGGTCTTTTGTACATTAGAGGGTATTCCAGAGAGGGCTGGGAGTGCAGATCTGGGTCCAATGGGGAACACTGACCTGAGCCACACTCTGCTGCCCCAGACCTTTAGAGAACATCTTCACTAAGACATTGCTTATGAGGCTATTTGAAGTCTTCTAGCCATATAGTTTATTGCATTTCTTAGTGGACAATTGTCTAGAAGTTCTGTTTTGTTTTTAATGAGTCAAGTCATAGCCTCAAAACTAAAGAATGTCTTCTTCAGGCAGACTATATATTTAGTTTCTATATGGCTTTAAAATTCAGTTTGTAACAGACTCCACAGGGTTAAAATTAGCTAGGAAATTTTGGCTGGTTTTGTACATTCAAGGGCTCCCTGCAGGCTTAAATGTTAAGCCCAGCTTATGGAGATGCTGTTATCAGGATGCTTAATGGGGGACTGAGGGACTGTGCTTGCTTGTAGGTTTTTTTTTTTTCTTCTTCTCTTCTTTCCACATACAAAGTCATGTTAATTCTATGCCACTTAACAGCTGCCTGTCATCCAGAGCAACACCTTTGATAAGTGGGGCTTGGGTAAGGTCTGGCAGTCCTAGGCTGAGATTCTTCTTTTAATAAAACATTAGTAGGTTGTTGTGCTGATGATAAATGACCTTGAAGGAGTAGCACTGTGGAACAGGGTGTGTGTGTGTGTGTGTGTGTGTGTGTGTGTGTGTGTGTGTACCATTCGTATTTTAAAGGAGTGCATCTTTTTCTTAGCTTGTGATTTTAATATGATAATTTTCAGGTCTTTTCCCAGCTCCCCTGTCTGCTGCCCTGGATCCTTTCCATTTTGTTCTTTAACCTGAGCATGTCAGTGGTTCAGTAATGTTAATGAGGTTAGCAAAGGCAAGAGTGCCATTCCTTCATTAGCCTCATCCCCTTGCCCAGCAGTTTTTAAATGTGCAAGTGTCAATATGAGTAATTTCATTTGGCATTTATTTATTTATACAAGTTTTTACTTGCTAGCCTAGGCTGGCTCTCTCTGTAACATAGGATGGTATAGAATTCCCACTCTTCAGAGGGCTGGGATTACAGGAGTCACCATAACTGGCTTCATTTTTTTTCCCTTTAAATTAAAAAAAATAAATCTCAGGCTGGCTTTGAACTTGCTTTGTAGCTGAGGGTAACATTGATCTATTGATCCTTCTGCCTCCCATTCCTGAGTGCTGGAATCACAGCTTGCACTCTCACCACAGGTTGATGTGGTGCTGGGGAATGAACCCAGGGCTTTGTGCATGCCCAGCAAGCGTACGCCAGCCCCCATCTTGTTTTTTAAAGGCACACGTACCAAGGAGCATTAACACTCTGCATATCTTGAGGCAACAGTTATAACTGAGGACTTTCTGGTAGTAATAGACAAAGCTATTATACATAAAAAAAAATCAGTCATGGGGACACCATTACTGTGCAGTGGACCAGACATTTATACAATCTGATTAGCATATCCTGATTATCATCTTGTCTATTGGATTTGAATTTTGCATTCCAGCACATTGATGTGTCTTTCTACAAGCCACAGCTCCTTCCTTTTTCTTTTCTGAAAGAGGTCTGAGATGACTACTCAGGGACACAGAGGTGACATCTTTAATGGAGCCTTTCCATGAGTTATGTATTTTCGGTTGCTATCAAGTATGTCTTCGTTTGTGAGAGCTTTTGTGACTGTTAGCCCATCGGTCCAATTCCCATCTCCTTTCCATTATACTGTTGCTGGTTTTGTTGTCTGCCAAGATTCCTTCCCAGCAGGTGATGGGTGGTTTCCCTGCCAGCTGGAGATGTGCTCCCTCTGATCTGTTTATATTTACAGGGACTGAGAAGATGCTGTGTAAACTTTGGATGTGCCTGACACTTGGGGCAGATGAATCCTATCATAAAATAAACTGTTAGCACCTAATAGATTCACCCACTATGTCCAGACACATGTGTGATTTGAGATGTGTGGCTTCTTTTATCTTAAAAACTTTTATGGCTTTCTCAACATAGCAATGAACTGTAATTTGGTATTTAAAAACACAGATCATTTTTTAAAAAGTAACCATTTATTACTTATTTGGTGTGTGTGTGTGTGTGTGTGTGTGTGTGTATGTGTATGCTCTTTGGTGTTCTAGTGGAGGTTGGGGACAATTTAAAGAGGTCGGTTCTATCATGTGGGTCCTGAGGATTGAACTTAGGTTGCCACGCTTGGCAGCAGGAACTATTATCTGCTGAGTCCTTTTGCCAGCCTAACATTACTCTTTTTCTCAAGCAGTCTTGTACAGTTTCATAGAAGGTATAAGCTATGCCCTTGGCTTAAGAAAACCTGTGTTACTAGATGACCTTGGTAGAGGTTAAGCTCTCAGTCTTCTGCCTTTCCTTTTGTCGTTGTAAGTATAGCTGAGCTACTCTAGTAACACACCCCGTCGGGCAGTCAGTATCATGCACACACAGACTTTAAAATTGGGTCCTTGATGCAGAGATCATTCTACTTTGCAGAAGGAGCTCTTCCATGGGAGGATTTCTTCCTGTGCTTTCCCATCTTGCCCCATAGCGACAAAGAGCATCTTGGGAATTGCTCATCAGTTCATAGCAGTGAAAAGAAACCTTGAGGTCAGTGATCAGTGCTGTGCAGGTAATGTCTGGCCCCGGTTTGTGGAGGGGCAGGAAGATTGCTAGTGTGAAAACGGTGCCTCCCAGCAGTTAGGAACCCCCGGCTCTTTCTTCAGCTGCAGGAGTGTCCATGGGACAGGATCTAGCAAGCTGTGGACATTTGTGCTTTTTGCTTCCTTGATCACAAAACCGCAGAAAGCTTGAGGTTAAAAAAAAAAGCGCACCATGGTACTTTCTCAAGGAACTGATGGGAACTCCTTCCTCATTGCCCAGGATAAGTCATTAGATTTTAAAACAAAAACAAAACAAAACTTAGCAATCAGTGCGTACACTCGCAGGAAGGGCAGGCTCTGCAGCCCCCAGGATACTAATTTATTTGACATTCTGCCCTATTTGTACTTTGGCTTTAGATAAATTTTATTTTTTGTTTTAAAATCTAGACTGACTTAGCAAAGGAAAGATGACAGCATGCAGCACCTGGGTGGCTGCAGATAGCGTCTTGATGAGAGGGAGGGATGATAAGACATGCGTTTGGACCCGAAGACCCAGGGGAAATTCTGTTGATTCAGAAACTCATTAGCTGAGCACCTTCTGCATACACACCAGGATCTTGGGTACTGAGGAAACATTTAGAAGAAGTAGAGAAAGGTTTCTTTTTATTATACATATAAAAGATTTAGAGGCCATGAGGGGACTGTTCAAAGAAAGAAACAACATACAGACCATCTTTAGTCCCGGGTAGGTTGAGACAGTTAGGAAACAGTCCCCACTCTGCCCTCATTTCCCCCATCTTATAAACAATGAAACTCAAGCTTAGTGCACCCAAGGAACTTGACTTCGTGGGTGTCACACTCCAGGTCAATGTCTCAAATGGTCAGAAATATGTGGTACTTCTGAAGCTTTGCTCTAGGTGCTGCACATCTGCCTGACATTCTTTCTGTCCTTATCTTGA